TTGATTTAATAAAAATTAACAGGAAATGTTTAAATATGATAAGTAATTAAGATCTTAGGTAATATTAGCCATCAATTATTTCTGACTCAGAATTTACTTGAAACAATCTCTAAAAATATATAAGCGGAGATAGAAAATACAAAGAAATAGAAAATTTAAATGAATAATAAAATTGAGTAAAATGTGTTCCACAAACAATTGGAGATTAGTGACCATTGTCCATTCCTAACTGCAAAAAATATTTGCATTGGTTTGATAAAAAAAATCACTATTCCTCGTCATTTTATAAGCCGTTGAGCAATGCCATTCGCATGACACATGAGTTTTAACCTTGTTTAGGTCTGAACCTCTTCAAGGAATGGGTTACTCCTTTTTTTAACGGATTAGTGGGGGTATGATAAACGTCAATTAAAAGATGCCCGATGTTAAGAAGTAGCAAACTACTAAGGACCTAATGAGCAGGGGGAAGCAGAAGGTGACTTGTGTGTGTGTAATCGATAGGAGCGCACAAGAAGAAGTGGGAATTGCCTAACATGCCAGTTGAGGTACTTCAGGAGAGCCATACAGTAGAAACAGCTCTTTATCAGCGTATTTGGCGTGCAGTCTTTATCTGCGATATTGTATGGAGAATGATTCTAGAATTTCAAGATACTCATCAGGATGTTCATGTCCAGTGTTGTGCAGAAGTTTTGCTGGAGGAAATGGAACTTTCTTAGTGGGAAACCTGGTGAGTATTTGCCCTCTGTGATTCCAAGGAGTCTTTAGTGTTCGTTTTGTTCTGTTATTCGAGTCAGCTATGGTTCTTAGGACATACTTCCTGCTGAGGGTTAGGATTCTGTCCTTAACTGGCATGATGTTGACCAATATGTATATGTGGGCTGATAGATATGACCAATCTTTCCTCATGCAGTATCTTAGTATTCTACGTTCAGTAGCTACAATGGCATTACGTTGGTGACTCTTGAGAGAGATGTGAACGCATGCCTTGTATTCGATTATAATCGGTCTGACAAAAGTTTAGTAGGTGTGCAACAAAGTTTTGGAAGACGTTCCGCCAATTTTACCGTTTAGCACTTTCAGGAGGTTAAACCTCTGTCTCATCCTATCTAAGGATTCCTGAACGTCGGCCTGCCAGCTGAGAGTTCTCGTAAAACGAACTCCCTATAAGCCTATAATTATAGCTTTAAAATAAGTTGCTTACAATCTTCTTTCGTTGAGCAAAATCAAATTTATAAGCAAAAATGTCTGACATAGTCGATAATTTGTTCTTTTATAATAATAAATTCGGAATATCGGCTTCTAATGGACCGATTTTAATTTTTCAAAGTGCGTTTACTTTGTTTTTAAAATAAACAAAACATGATTTAAAAAAAGGTATATTTTATTAGTTTATTGTTATAAGCATTAAAATAATTCAATTGTTTATAACAAATTCCTGCCCAAAAATTCGGATTTTTTTTTATTAGAAAAGATTATGTGGAAGATTCGGCGGGTCAAAATACATAAACGTCAGTTGTAAAATCTTATGGGACCACGAAACCCCTCTTTTCCTTGACTAATTGCAAATATGCCACCCTGAAAATAGGGTTATAAGTTACTATCTCGGAACACATAATACATGGCATCGACAGACAAAACATCTATGATAAGTTAGTGCTCCAATAATATTGAAAGATCAATTTTTTACGACTGCAAGGGTTGACGACTTTAAATAACGTGATCCAATAATTACAGATAGAAAAAACACTGTTGAAGCAGTAAAAGAATTATACTTGGAAACAAATGTTTCTACTCCCTGCTTGTGCATACCATCGAAACTAGTGTCAATCAATTTAAAAGAAAAAATATATGCGGGAGAATGAATATTAAGAATGACCTTTGAAATAAATGGAATATATAATAGACCAACTATCATAAGAGAACGAAGTAAACGACTAGATTGGATAGTACAAAAAAGTATTGAAGGAGGGACTACCGTAAAAAATATCCAGATTGTATAATTTCAGGCCTTAAAGAGTTAGTAATAAATCAATGGAAAAAGCAGACACAGGACTGAAACAATGAGCGACTATGGCGAGAAATGAAGAACATACCTAGCATTAAAACCAGAATTACCCTCTCCCGTTCAGCAAGGCAAACTAGCATAAAAAAACCTGATATAGTTATCACCGCATCTTCGTCAATTTAATTTTCTTTTGCAAATTGGAATTAGTATTCGGTATGTACTTCTACCATTAATAAATAGATGAAAGTATCGAAGAAAGTCATATGTAGTGATATAAATCAAATAAAATCCTTACATAATAATCCATCAAACTGATTACGTCCTGACTAGCATTGTCCATCAAAGTTTTTCAGATCAGCGACGTACCGTAATTATATAATTATTTAGTATTACAGTTGTTAAATATACATGTTGAAATTCAAATTATAAATTATAGGTACCTGTGTGTATATCAATTACAATTACCCAACGTAACTATGCTGGTAGATGTTTATAATTCGATGCAACCATTAGGATTCACTCACAGCAAACATATTATTAGATGTCTTCACTTAGGATATTGCTACGATCGTAACCCCTGTAAAATACCATTAAATTAATATTTGATGCGTATGTATCATATTTTACAGCATCTATTAATAATTTTTGTCACCATTTTCCACAACAGCTTTAGAAGGGTCAGCAATACCTATTAAATGAAATAGTTGAATTTATGTGGCTTGTCATATATTTTAATTAATCAATGAACATTTTTATGTATTAATTTTTTTTTTATTTTTTTCCTGTTGGATAGATTGACTTCTTCTTCTGGGCCGTATCCTCTCAGAAGGTTGCCAACTACCATAGCGATTCGGATCTTTAGTGCCGCTGCTCTTAACAGTTCTGTAGAACTACAGTTGAATCAAGTTCTTATATTGCTTGTAAATGTGGTAATATTGCAACTTTCTGTTTTTGGCAGTGTTACGACTTCTTTTGTTTTCTCATTCTTTCTAATAGTACGTCGTTTGTAACTTTGTCCACCTAGCATATTCTAAACATTCTCCTGTAAGATAACATTTCGAAAGCCTCCAATTTATCGGCGATCTGTTTTTTCAACGTCCATACTTCCACTCCATACAGCACCACAGAGAACACGTAACACCTCAAAGGTCTAAATCTTAATCAGGTTGAGAAATCGCTGTTAAACACAACATTTTTAATGTTGGTAAATGTGTATCTTGCTTGTACAATTCTCGATTTGATATCTTTAGTATAGTCATTGTTGTCGTTAATGTTTGATCTTAAAAAATTCTTCGTGATTTAAAAAATTGTATTTAAGTGTATTTGTGTTTTATTATTTTTTTTTCTGTGAATCATTGGACTCTCTTGTCGTTGCTGTGATCCTCGTCTTTCTAAACCATGAGGTTCTTCTTTGACCTAGCCCACTTTTTCCGTCATCTTGCGTTGTATTATTAAATGACGTATATCCCTCTGGGTGACGCATGATATGGACAAAATATTCCAGTTTGCGATTTTTAACTGTTCTGACCACTTCCCCATCCACTGCAAAACAACTTGATTACGAACTTTATCAGTCAACTTATTCGTAAGGTTCTCCTAACACCCAGATTTCAAAGATTTTTAGTTTTCTCAAAGTTTATCCATTAAAGTCCAACCTTCGGCACCATAGAAAAAATAGAGAACACATAACATCTTACTAGTCTAATTTTCAATCTCAAAGTGATATTGTTTCTACAAGTCTACAAGATTTTCTTTATCTTAAAAAATGCAACTCTGACCTTCTCTATACGTATTCTTATTTCTTTTTGCTCATTTCCTATTTCTAATTTAGATTACAACCAAGGTAAGTGATACTTTAGTTCTCTCTAGTTATTCTTCATAAGCTGTTATCACTTTTGGTTGTATTAGAGCTTTACCACCATCAACATTTTCTTTGTGTTGTTTAGCTTCAGTCCATATTCATCACACGTTGTGGTAATCCTATCAATCAGATGTTGAAGTTCTTAGTTACTACACTGACCCGCAAAAGTGCAAAAGTCACCCTCACCGGACACGTGAAATTCCATAGTTTTCTCCTTTTAGTTTTGTTGAATTGATCTGTAGATTGATTAAATATATTTCGTTTGTTATTTTAAACAGGTAAAATGGTGTCATTTTTTATGGCTGAAAAGAAAGTTTTTGTTAAGGTACCTCGGTAAATCGAATATTTGCTTAAAATAATGCTTGTTAAATTGGTTGTATTTATTTTTGGTGTATGTGACTTTTTCGGGAAAGAAAGTGTTTTTAATAACAAAGAATAACTTACAGTGAGGCCAGGTCAAGTAGCGCAAACTGTTGTTCTGCATAATAATGGGCGTTCCATCCGATATATCGAAGATATGGTTGGCATTCTGCGAATTACAATATCCGATGCTTCACAAAGATTTCTAGAAACTGCTTCTTACTGAAGGGGAAATGTACAGGGAAATCCAAGGTCAACAAACGCCATGGAAGATCGGTTTCTTAGACTGTAAGTGCTTCGAGAGTGACAGTTACTGCTACAGCTTTTATTTACAGAAAACTGAACTGGGAGTTCCCAGCTGTTCTCCGCGTGTAGAGGTTCTCTCTCACCGGCTCTGGAACTCGCTTCAGCCATGTGTTACCTCTAGCCAAATTTAATTTAATACTGAACATCACAGTTATTTTACAACACAATGTACAATCTTTTATAACTAAATGTAATTTAAAGGGTTTTTACCCTAGCATTTTGGTGGCTCAGGCATTGTGACCTAGCATTTTTCGATTTTAAAACCTGATGATGGACTGTGTGGTCCGAAAACGTTTGTTTTATTGATGTAGCCCTTTTAAGGGTTTTTTAAATAAATATACCCATTTACAAAGACTAACCTCTTTTTTGTGATACGTGGTATACAGCCAGCTACAGGAATTTTTTCCTTGTGGATCTTTTTATAAACAATTTATAGTCTAAAAACTAATACGCCCGTTATTTTTTTAGTGAGAGTGGTAAAACACCCGCCATTTATCGAAAGTCCCTTTCCCCAAGAACCAAGTTCGATAATCACCAACCGTCCCGAGAATTTATATAAACCCCCACCGACCAAAGCCAGGCCTATAATGGTGGCCATGTACAATTACGAAGCCAGGGATAGCCAAGACGTGTCTTTCAGAAAGGGAGATAGAATGGAGGTTATCGACGATTCCGAAGGGGATTGGCTTAAAGTGATACATCTTGTTACTAAAGAGAAGGGTTACATTCCAGGCAATTATGTTGCTCCAGAACAGAGTGTTGAAAGTGAAGAGTAAGTATATAAGTCCATGTTTATTTTCAAAAATATACCAGTATATTAGGTCAAAAAAAATTATAATATTGACATGGCAGTTTATTGACGTTTATCTTTAAACAAACAGTAGACTTTTGTAGAAACCCTAAATCTGTATTTTCCGCAAATGGTTTTTATTCAATTTTATATGTAACTGTTGTATTTTTCCTGTTTCTCTGTTCGTTTCTGCCCTTCGTTTTCTTCATATTTCTTATTTTCTTGCACTTGTTTCTTCCACCGTGTCTTTAACTTGTCTATTAGTCCTTGATTCACGCAGTATCATATTGAAAGGGTTTATTTCCATTGTTTAAATATTTTTCTATAAGTTATTCTTATCCTTCTTACATCAGACTTTCTGCACACTTGGACCGGGGACATTTGTACTGAATGCTGTCCTTTCTTTAAACTTCACCAGAAACTCTTGTGCCCTCAATAAAAGCGAGAAACTATTTTACAGAAAGTTACAAGGATATTTTCTGGTTCAATACATCTTTTAGTGGTGTATATTCCCCTCTTATCACTAAGAATTTTACATACACATATATGGCATTTCTTGCAGCATGGATCAGTTGAGGAGCGATCAATCAGAACGCTGTTTTGATTGATCGCTCAATTTGAACGATTTGAACGATCAGAAAGAGAGGATGAGATACGAAGTCCAAAAAATTAATAACTTATAAGAATTGCGTTAGAGAACTTATTGATAATTTGAGAGGACGAGAAAACCATTACAATAGTTCAAAAAGTCTCAAAAATGTTATTTAGACAGGTATTTAAGTATTGCAAAGTTACATAAACTATATAACACAAACTTCTAGAAAAAACAAGTTTCACTGTCAGTGTTTTCCAGAATATTTTTTCTCATATATTAATATATTAATTTAGGCTTTTTCTCATCTTCTTCAGATGTATGAGCCACATGTATGAGACTCACAAACCAAACTAAAATAGAAAAAAATGCAGAAAAAGAAGAGAATTAATTTTACAAAAGAGCATTCATAACAGAAGAGCTAAAGCATTCTACGAGTTATGTAAAGATCGCCGTATAAAGAAATTTCACTAAGTGTTTTTTTTACTTGCGGCAGGTTCCGCCGTTGACTATGACACCCATATATGTACACCAAGTAATTTTTTATGTTTTCTGCTGTGTTGATTTTTGATCAAAACGTTTCCATTTTTATATGTGGAGCGAGGAACAAGCTGGATGGATTCTGTGCAGGTAGAATCTTCTCTTCTGTATTATTTGGACTCACTCAATCTAGATAGAATAAAGATACTGCTGCGACTTTTTTGTGACAGATGCAGAAAACAAAATAGGAACTTACACATAATCCATGCATTATATTATAGCTTAAAGTCAAGAGAATTCCAGAATTAGAAGAAATTAGAATACCTTTTCTAGTACGTGGCCACAGTTTGTTGTCAGTAGATAGGGTGTTTGGCAGGGTTGAGAAATGCCTAAGAAAACAATCTGTTGTAACAAAAATACATATCAACAGTTCGGTTTAGTGAAGAATATTAGAATAGACTGGTTCCTTAATGACATTAAGTATCTTCAAAACAACTTACAAAAATTTGGTGGAATACTTAAAAAGAATTCATTTAAGATGGTGTTTCCAAAACTTTCGATATTAATGTCTTCTAGAAGTTGGAAAAACATTGATAAAGGCGCGAAAAACTGATCAGGGTATGGAGCTAAACTAACGATGAGTATTTAGATTGACATAAGAAACTCTTAGCAACAGAAGGCTGCAATAACGAAGAACAACATCGAAACCCATGTGACTGCCTGGAAGAGGACCGTGGTGTATCTAATGTGAAATTATTTTTTACTTCTGTAACTTTTTAAAATATTGTCTTAGATTGATAAGTTTATTTTTATTTAATGCTCTCTGGGACCTGCAACACACAAATATTTTTAATATCAATCGTATCGGTATAAATCCACTCTTTTTTTCACATATCATGAAACATATTGTGCGTTAAATATTCCTATTTACATAATATAATAATATACTACCCGTATTCTTTAAAATATGATCTGAATTAAATTTTTTTAACTCAGCGGCGAGTAAGGGTTAACATTTCTGCATTTACCTCCGAATCAGTTTTAGTCGATTTATTGCGTTTTGATCAATAGAGGTGCAATAGAATTGTACTAAGACCTAATAAACTGGACAAATGTTTCCAAATGTCCTCTGTAGGGCTTTCTATTTCCATTAATTAGTATAAAATTTTCCGGTTACCTTTGAATTTAATGTTTTACAACGTCGTTAGTGATGTCGGATTATGATTCTGAGCTTCAAAAGATTCTTCAAGAGCCTTTCTTTGCCATTGAGTTTGTTAGTTTGTTTCCTTGGGCTCCTTCTTGGCGAAGTGCCAATATTAGTAACAGTTTATGAGATCTACCAATTTATTAACGAGATATTTACAGTTTTTTAACAGTTTGGATTTAGGAAGTGCGTTCTTTGCCTTCATGTAGGCGATAAAAATATTTATTTTTTCACTCTGTGGTACTCTAGTGAGATATAAAATTTTATCTTTTGTTTATTTTTTTACTGTGACTGTAATCCCATATTTTATATCTTATCTTTTAAAGTTTATTCACAATCATAAGGCGTCTTTTATGATATCTTTGGTCTTACTATGTTTTTATTATCTTCTAAAAATCTTTAGCTTTTAATCATATTGTCTTATGAGACTATTTGTCTGTAAAGAAATATTTGTTTTTTCCTTATAGTGCTCTTGTAAATTTAACATTTATCCTTGTGTTTCGGCTTATCTAGTAATTTCATATTGTTTTAGTTATGTCTCCTTATCAGCAAGAGCAGTTCAAGACTATAAAAAAGTAGTATATTCAGGACTACAGTGTACAATGAAAGTAACAAATCGATTGCTATGCTTTAACAGTCTAATATTATTCCAGGTATCTAATGTCCCATTTTAATCACAGAGTCGACTGAAGGTGTGGATATTTTCATCTCCTGATCAAACCAGAGAAAAAGTTCGCGACTAGTGTCGCCCTCTTTTCACTAACCCTATCTTTTCATTGATGGACTCCGAAGAATCATCCATTTTTAAGTTCTATTCTGGGCCAATGCTTATGTCTATTATATTCTCAAAACTAGGGACGAAAAGTTGTCAGTCACGGCAGTGCACCCATATCGTTGAAAAGCATGACATGACAGAACAGAGTTGACAAATATAGATACAGGTTACATAATCGAAACTAGTTGCAAATTACACTGCAGAATAAAGATTAAATAGGATATTTAGTTAATAAAAGAGTTGAGCGCCAATTATTTTTAGAGTGAAAATAGTAAAATAAAACAAATGAAAATAGTTAAAGAATGAATAAAATCAAAAGAATTTGGTGCAAAATACTTATTTGAAGAAAAATAACAAACATTGACGTTACATCATGTTAAATTTAGTATTCTCGCTTACACATTATTCTGTTGGTGATGACATGTGTTATTTATGTAGGTGGTAGTCAGAAAATACTTTATTTACACCACTATCTACTCTATTATGTTCAGAAAATATCAGAAAAGGTTATAAATATTAAAATGTAGGAAAATATATCAAAATAATAATTATTTGAAGAAAAATAACAAACAAGTTAAAAATAACAAACATTAACGTTACATCATGTTAAATTTAGTATTGTCGCTTACACATTATTCTGTTGGTGATGAAATGTGTTATTTATTTCGATGGTAGTCAGAAAATTCTTTATTTACACCACTATCTACTGTATTATGTTCAGAAAATAACAGAAAAGGTTATAAATATTATAAAATGTAGGAAAATCTATCGAAAATTATTGATTTTACCGAAATTTTGTAGTATTAAAAAATTAAATTGCCGCATAAATAGAGTATTTATATTTAATATATGTAAATGATTTAGTGTAAAGATTACCTTGTTAGGAATTACATGGAAATTGCGTGATCGCATATTATGGTTAGATATCACCAAGATACCACACAGGACGTCTCTTCATCCTGCTGAGATAAAGAACTGTATTTACCCGCATAATTTTGCACTGTAAAGATAACATTAACATACATAGTGTTCTAGATTAGCATTGAATTCATTTTTTATTGAACATATTGTTTATTAGAAATGAGTTAAGTTTGCACCCAATTATTAATACTCAGAAACCGCGAGATATGAACTGTATACAGTGTGTATACGTAGTCTTTGTGTTGAATTTATTTCATTAGCTATCTACTCGTTAAGCATATTGTCCCCTCTTCGTTTTCATACAAATTGGAAACTTTTTTGCATGTATTTATATCTACGTGATTAGATATAAACAGATATAGCACTACTAAATGATTTATTTCTACTCTTAAAACCACTTACATACATTAACATCTAGATACTAAATGGTCTGATAAACCTTCTTTTAAATGAAAAGCATGTTTTCTAAAAAATTCTTTTATTTTATTCGATATAATCCCCTTTTAGCTCAATACAACGATTCCAACGATTTTAAAACTTCTTTATGACGCCCGAATAATACGATTCTGGCAGTTTTACAAAACAGTCATTTGTTTTGTCAATTATCTCTTCGTTCGAGCTAAAGTTTTTATTTACGAGCCATCTCTTTCGATTTGGTAACCCCTAATAATCGGAGGAAGTCACATCAGCAAAATAAACCGGATGAGAAAGCAATTTTTTCTTCTGCATATGCGACTTTTTCTCACAGAGTTCTCAATTTGTCTAATAATGCACAATAATATTTGCCATTGGTAGTTTTTCCTTTTTCGTAATAGTCAATTAACATTATGCCGTTACAAATCCCAAATAAAGTAGTTATAGCCTTTCCTACCTATTGAGCCACACTTGACCGCTTCGGTGTACTTTTGCCTGCTTCAGTACACTGCCGTGTATTCATTCTGTTCTTTGATGTGTAGTAATCCAGATTTCATCTACGGTTAGGAATCGGCGTCAAAAGTCCGACAGATTCCGCTTCATAAGGTTCAAACACTGCTGAGAATTGGTCCCAGGATCATGTTTTTAATCAATGGTCAGCAAATGCGGCACTCATTGGCATGATAATATTTGCATATTCAAAAGTTCGTTCAGAATATGACTATTGTGCTCTTTATTAATTCTTGTACCTCCATTTCACTCGCGATCAACTAAAACCATTTATATACGTTCTAATAGGAGCATTAGTCCTATAATATTTATCCACCTTGCGTATGCGTTTACACTTTATAGTCTTTAACTGAATAAGTTGAGGAGGGAAGAACTGTTTGTCTTAAGTTGGTCATTCAGAATTATGTCTGTATTTTTTAATGTGTTTAGTTTTTTAGATTCTAATAAAAATAGCTTAAGGTCTTCATTTTGAATATAAAGAATTTGAAATTGGCGATTGTTTTTTATTATTAAAAACCTTTATATGTTCTGCTATACGTTTGTTAAAAGTTCTACCAGTTTGACCGATGTTAAGTTTTTGAGCAGTCGTCACAGTTAACTCGCTTTTTCTTTTGGCTCTTGTTGTTCTTAATATACTTGCCTAAATTGTTGTTTGTTCTAAAAGCAGAAGGTACTGGTTTTATTCTCTAGTGGTGGAAATACTGATTTCAGGAATTTCTTGTGTAGTTTTTGATTTAAAACTTTATTTAGAGTTTGTTTACTGTTATTTGCTTAATAATATTTAATTATATAGTTGGTTTTTGACATGGGAATTTCTATTAATCTAACATACTATGGTAGGCTGCCAATTTATGTTGTGTAGGATGGGATGATGAATTGTGCATAGTCTTGTCGGTCTGGATAGGTTTATGAAATACGAAGAACGGAGAACGGTTAATGTTTGTTTTTAAGTCTAATAATTTTTAAATATAGAAAATTTGTGGATTGATTCTGTTCTGTTTCTATTGTAAATTCAATATGACTATGAAGTGAATTAATATACGATAAAAATTGGTCAAGTTGCCTTTTAGTTCCTGTAAAACATACCAGTACGTCTTCTACGTATCTCCGCCGTTATCTCTTCTACGTTATATTATTCTATATAACAATCGTTTCAATACGGGATGTTTTGAAATCTTTCTAGATGATTCATAAGAATATCTAAAGTTTGCCTTAAATGTTTTTTATTATTGACAGTCCTTTTATGTCCTGCTATATGTTTGTTAAAAGTTGTACCAGTTTGACAGATTAATGTAGTGATACCCAAAAACTTACATCTGTCAAACTGGTACAACTTTTAACAAACGTATAGCAGGACATAAAAGGGCTGTCAATAATAAAAAAACAGACTCTAGGTACGCACTTCACCTTCTAGACTATAACACAGGCCTACAGGCAAAAAATTATATTTTGATGCCGTGAATTTTTAAGCTGATTTTTAACCATTGATTGAATGATCATTGTATCAAAATTAATAGTTTGAATATTTGAGATAATAAAGAAATATACATTGGAATATTCAAAGGAATATATATTGTTAATTAAATTTCTTCCTCAGTATATTTGTTGTTCCCACTTTATTGTGTCATTTTATATTCCACACTACGATGCAAATTAATGGCGTTTGTTTATTGATAGCTCTAAGCGCAGTTTGAAATGTGTTCTGCTTCACAACGGAAACAAGTTTGGATTAATACCAATTGCTCATTCAATCGTGATGAAAGAAGATTATGCTACAATAGCTTTAGTTTTACAGAAGATAAAATGTAAAATTGTGTAGACTTGAAAATGGTAAACCTTCTTTTTGGATAGCAAAGTGGCTACACAAAATATCCTTGCTTCTTGTCCCTCTGAGATAGTAGGGACCGAAAAAACCACTAGATTAAAAAAGAGTGGCCTAAGAGAAAAAACTTGCTAATTGGGCAAAAGAACATTATTGCCCAGTCTTTAGTCCAACCAGAGAAAATAATCTTATCACCCCTCCATATTAAGCTAGGCCTAATGAAGCAATTTGTTAAGTCACTTGGTTATAATGGACCATGCTTTGCCTACATAGGAAGGAAGCTGCATCAGATAAGTACGGAAAAACTTAAAGCTGGAATCTTTGACGGACCACAGATCAGACTTCTTACAAAGGATCCGGCTTTTGTGGGGTCAGTGAATGAGGTAGAGAAAAACGCTTGGCTGTCATTTGTGGACATTATCAAAAATTCTCTGGGAAATCACAACAGAGCAAACTATGCTGAGCTGGTAAACAATTTTCTGAGTAACTTCCAATCACTTAAACGTAATATGAACATCAAAGTCCACTATCTTCACAGCCACCTGGACCGTTTCCCTAAAAACTTAGGAAAGTGAGGAGCAAGGTGAGAGATTTCATCTTAATACACACTCACAAGACATAAAAACCATGGAACACCGCTAGCAAGGAAGATGGAATACACATATGATTGCAGATTTTTGCTGGAGTTTGAAGAGAGACTGTTTAAAAGTCCATTCCATGAAATTACGCAAGCGAAGCTTTCGTTGCGTCAAGTAATGTTTTTTTTTATTCTGTTAAGTTAGTTAAATGGCTTAAAATATACGTATTTTCTAATTGTGTGATTTTTATTTCAATGTAGTATATCCATATCAGCATATTCGTATTTTAATGCATAAAAGCTGGTATGACCTACGTTATCTTGAAAACTAAAGCTGATAGGGCAAAACTAAAGTCATATTCGGAATTAGCACCTCAAATATACTTACCTAAAATGAGCTCTTAACACTTTGGCACCAAAAACACTGTAGGCCGGTGAATCATTCTTTTAATGACGAATTTCAAATTCTTCACACTCGATACAGACATAATTCTGAATGACAAACTTGAGGCAAACCGTTCTCCCCTCCTTAACTTATTCAGTTACACACTATAAAGTATAAACTTATATCAAAAATAGATCACTTAAGAAAGGCACTCTGTCGAATCAACTGTAGTGATAAACAATTTTAATAAATCTTGTGGAAGTTTTAAAAACAAAAGTTTTCAGTGTTTTATTTTTATATAAGTAACATAAAATTCCATATAGTAACGGTTGAATCCATCACTTATGTAATATTTTCCTTCAGCCCTCTGTTGAACGAACTATTTATTTCGCTTCATAATATTTTGTACATTACTGTAGCCTCTTGTATTTATGACTTAGGTATTCATAAATTTATAATATTTATTAAATAAATATAAAATTTATTTTATTTTCCAGCTGGTTCTTTGAGAACATATCCAGAAAAGAAGCCGAAAAACTTCTTCTTGCTGAAGAAAACCCACGTGGTACTTTTCTAGTCCGTCCTTCTGAACATAATCCCAATGGATATTCTCTATCTGTTAAAGACTGGGAAGAGTACAGGGGATATCACATTAAACATTACAAAATAAAGCCCTTGGATAATGGTGGATTCTACATTTCTACGAACAAAACATTTGACAAACTTTCTGATTTAGTTAATGCATATACCAGTAAGTATAATTTGTTAAGCTATTAGGAAATTAAATATGTAGTGAAGATCATACATCACAATATGCCATATTAGTGAGGCGTCTTAGATTAAATTTTTTGAGGTTAGACCCGTATTTTTGACGTTAGACCCGTTTTAATTATAAAACCATGTGAGTTAATTATACATTTCTGAAACTAAGCAATTTTAAATTAAATTCATGTAATTGTTAGTTTACTTTGGATACGTCTTTATAATTATGATTAAGAGCAACTCATAATAATCGCCAGCTAGGACGGATCACCGGATAGTTTTTCCTCACCTTTGATATTTTCGAATATTACCGAGAAGCGGTTGATGGGTATGGTGGTAGGTGTCACTTCCGTTCTGGTTGGAGCGCTACGAAATCTGAGCTGGTTCGTCCTAGCTGGCGTATACTGTATATACCACACAAACAATCTTCAATAGGCCATCGATAGATTCTCCTAATCCATCGATAGATATAATAGATTCTCCTCTGGTTTCAAATTATCAAAGCTATAATATTACATTTTTTTTAGAAAATGCTTATGGTTTATGTCATGTATTGTCGAAACCATGTAAACGACCGCAACCTACAATGTGGGATCTAGGTCCCACATATCGTGATAAATGGGAGATTCCTAGAGATGAACTGGTTCTCATTCAACGACTGGGACGAGGAAACTTTGGAGAGGTATACTACGGAAAATGGAAGAACAATATTGAAGTGGCTGTGAAAACTTTAAGAGAAGGTACTTTTTTATTATTTACTTTATATTATTTACTTTATATATATATATATATATATATATATATATATATAATATATATATTTACGTATGGATGTATGTATATAATTTCTATGATTTTTTGAGTTTGACTCCACGTTGAATAACTTTTGATTTTTAGAAAAAACATTGTTTGAAAACGTTTTAGTTGTCAAGTCAGATTAATTCTGCTTCCTCTGGCTCGACAATGGCAAGTGTGACCTTGCGACCAAAACTATTCAACGCGGAGTCAAACTTGGAAATGTAAAATGAATGGGAAAATCCCAGTAGTTGGCTGTATACCATAGTTAAAAAAATTATATATATATATATATATATATATATATATATATATATATATATATATATATATATAATATATATATATATATATATATATATATATATCCGGTCTTTTAGGCGTTACGCCCGTCCGGTAGGGATCTATGGAGGAGTATCACCGAGCCGCAAGCCCTTATCTCTTGCCGTACTGCTCCACCATAGGCCGATCAGATCCCAGCATATTCTAGTCTAAGCCGCAGATTCATCTAGAATTTTAAACTGCTGCGTTAGACTTTTTGTTTTCTGTACACCGAGCTGGGGCTCGATCCCACATCCACTGAACCATTCGACAGTGAAGCGAATGAGAGGCAGCCGCACAGCCCGCTGAGCTATCTGACCGACTAAAAAAATTATAACCGACCGACTAAAAAAAAAATTATACAGAAGTAAAACACTTCACAATTTGAATATTGGTATAAAAACATTTAGGTTTGGGCGGCCGCAAACAGCGTCGGACCCAAAATGGGCGGCTGAAACAAACACTCACCAACACGTCTAGCCAGCGTGGTGTTTAAAGGCTAAATACCCCTCACGAAAATGTCAGTTGAAAACACGCAAATACCCCAGGCAAGTAGGAAATTATTTCCAGAATCTTGCACTGATAAATTATCAGTCTGTCCCATGGATTCTGGGGGGGGGGGAGTGACAAAAAATTGACAAAGACAGGAAAAAGTTACCCGAATAAGACGACACTTTATATAGGAACATATGATGCACGTTCCCTACTATCTGATAAAAGACTTACTGAACTTGAGTGCGAACTAGAAAACATAAAGTGGGACATAGTCGGTCTCACCAAAGTCAGAAGACGTGGCAAACACTTAATTAAACTAAAATCAGGAGATGGGCTAAATACCCCTCACGAAAATGTCAGTTGAAAATACGCAAATACCCCAGGCAAGTAGGAAATTTTCCAGAATCTTGCACTGATAAATTATCAGCCTATGCCATGGATTCGGGGGGGGGGGGGGTAAATTGACAAACACAGGACCCGAATAAGACGACACTTTATATAGGAACATATGATGCACGTTCCCTACTATCTGATAAAAGACTTACTGAACTTGAGTGCGAACTAGAAAACATAAAGTGGGACATAGTCGGTCTCACCAAAGTCAGAAGACGTGGTGAACACTTAATTAAACTAAAATCAGGAGATGGTTTTTACCACGTAGGTGACGACAATAATTCCTTAGGAGGAACTGGCTTCATTATACACAAGCATCTCCAAACAAGTATAGTATCACTAAAGAAATTTTCCACAAGAGTGATTTGTCTTACTCTTAAATTGAATACAATGTATAATGTATTACAAAGAAGCTGCTTTTCAAGACCATCAAGGACATTTTACTTTTATATGTGGTGATTTTAACGCCAAAACAAGAATTAAATCCAACCCTACAGAAACACCACTGGGAAACTTTGACTTGAATGGTAGAAATGGACGTGGCGAAATACTGTTAAGGTTCATGCTGTAACATGAACTATTCCAAATGAACAGTTTTTTTTTCAAAAAGAAACCACAGAGAAGATGGACATGGCAAAGTCCTAACGGAAAAACTTAAAACGAATTAGATTTTATTATCACGGACAAAAAACACTCCGTTAAAGACATCACGGTTCTAAACAGATTTGTTACCAGTAGCGATCGTAGAATGGTACGAGGTAAAATATAAATAAGCTTAAAGAAGGAGAGGTATAAGATGATTAAAAAGAAGAAAAATTCAAAACCATGGATGAAACCATCAGATGTAGATAGTTTTCAGCAATGTATTTCCGATATACTTAGTAGTCCTGAAACAGAAAATAATATAAACGACTTAAATAATAAATTAACAAATGCTTTACTGGAAAGTCAAAACAAATTCTGTCCTAGAACTCAAAAGAAGAGAAGATTAGCCAAAATACTAGGCAACTAATGCAGAAAAGAAAAGAAATGAGAAGCGAGATGGAAACCAAAGGCGACGAACTACAAAAATTAAATAAAGAAATATCCAAAGCTGTTAGACAAGACACTCGAAAATACAACCAAGAACAAATCGAACATACCATTGAGGACAATAGACGTATGAAAGTATTGAGAAAAAGACTAAGAACGGGGACAAGGCAGATAATAAAGATTAAAGATAGAAATGGTCATCTTATAACTAACAGAGAGGAAACCCTCAAAATAGTTGAAAACTACAAATTGAGATCCAAAGTGTCGTCCAAAATTTATAGATGCATAACGTTTTCGATCTAGGTCAGATCATCCACAGTGCCTTCTTTTGGTACTTATAGCTAACATTAAAATTGCAAAATTAATGGGAAAAACCCCGTAATTGGCTGTATACCATCGTTTAAAAAAAACACAGAAGTTAAAACACTTCACAAATGTGTATTTAGGTATAAAACAAACAAGTTAAAACTTTTTAAAAAAGTGTCGTCACATTTAAAGTTCTGGCAGAACGTTTTCGATCACTACGGATCATCTTCAGTGCCTCGTATTTGTTGCTAACTATATAAATATGGTGTCTATAAGACTACCATGTTTGATTTGGTAAAGTGTCACATTTTACATTAGGTAATGTTGATACTGTAGGTCGATGACAATGGATGTATTTAAAATTTATTACTTTAGGGACTACATGTCTCCTAAGCTCGAGTACTTGCACGTTGTCAGTTGAAGCGACGACACAGACCAAAATGACCATTTTGGTCTGTGTCGTCGCTTCAACTGACAACGTGCAAGTACTCGAGCTTAGGAGACATGTAGTCCCTAAAGTAATAAATTTTAAATACATCCATTGTCATCGACCTACAGTATCAACATTACCTAATGTAAAATGTGACACTTTACCAAATCAAACATGGTAGTCTTATAGACACCATATTTATATAGTTAGCAACAAATACGAGGCACTGAAGATGATCCGTAGTGATCGAAAACGTTCTGCCAGAACTTTAAATGTGACGACACTTTTTTAAAAAGTTTTAACTTGTTTGTTTTATACCTAAATACACATTTGTGAAGTGTTTTAACTTCTGTGTTTTTTTATTAAAATTGCAGTGAAGACGTCAATATATGGTTTACATATTTAAATTTAAATTATATTGCGACTCTAGGCGCATGACGATGACAATGGTTGTAAATGTTAATGCTCGTGCTTTCTTGCTCGACTTGAACGCGTGGTGCATGTTAGCTAGTCTTAATTAAATGTTTTTATACCAATATATATTTGAAGTTTTTTACTTCATTTAGAGGATTTAGAGGACGATTTATACCGTCAATAGTGACATGGTTTGGGAGAAGGTTGGCGTGGGGGTAGCGTGGGGATTAACGCGGGGATTGGCGCGAACATTTTTGACAGGATTTTGATTGACTGGTGATGCGTACGATATTTTTTTTTATAAGAGAAGCCTCCAAATGGATGGGAGCTATGGTTCTGGAGTTTTCAAAATCAATTTTGTGATCTGTATGAAGAGGGTGTTGACCTAGAGCTGAAATTGGGTCGGACTTGCAAACAGAAATGGAATGTTGATTAATCCTATTTTGGATTCTATGATTTGTTTGGCTTATAAAGAATCGGCGGCAGTCTGCACAAGGAACTTCATGAACTCCGTATTGTTATACATGGGATAACAACACGGGAATTATGGTACTGATATAGGGATTATGGTCGCTTTAATTTAATGGTGCATGATTCTCTCCGAACATAGTGAAGAAGTTTGAGTACATTGAAAGATAACTGTACTATTATTTAGTTGATAGACACCCTAAATATGTGAATATTTCCATTTTTACATAAAATATTTGTGTATGATTATTTCTTCTGTTTCTAGGTACTATGTCAACTGCCGCTTTCTTAGAAGAAGCGGGCATTATGAAGAAATTTCGACACAAGAGGCTTGTAGCATTGTATGGAGTGTGTAGCGAGGAAGAACCGATTTACATCGTTCAAGAGTATATGAACAAAGGCAGTTTGCTTGATTTCCTTAGGAAAGATGAAGGGCGACATCTGCAGTTTGAAGATTTGATTTATATTGCTTTCCAAGTAGCTTCTGGAATGGAATATTTAGAATCTAAACAACTTATTCATAGGTAAGTATTATATTTTATTAATGACTATGTACGTTCTATTATTTTAACCACATTTAATATTTTATTATTAACGTTGGGGTATTCAGCACTACTTCAACGGTTGGGATTCTGGAACTGTTCAAATAATTAGTTCCCAGCTATATTTTTTACAGTATCTTCGAGAATTATCAGTTTCTGGTTTCATCCGTTGGTATTTTTTTTGTTTATATATTTCCTTCTCCAGAGGTTTTCTGACCATGGTTTTCTTGATACAGGTTGGAATTTAGGTACTAGTTCCATTCAATTTTTCTGTTCTCTATCCACCTATTTATACCTTTTATTTTCTATATGTGCTTTTCATCTTCGGTTCGAGTTTTGTCTCGTAATGTTTTATGTTTTTTTATGTAATTTATTTTTATTTCCATTATCTGTAATAATATTTACGTTAGTTTCGTTTCATCTCGGATTTTAGCAATGTAAGCCAGTATTGGTTTAATTACAGCTTTATATATATATATATATATATATATAAAGCTCCATATAAATGGAGTCCCACAGGTCACACATAGTCTGTTTGCTTTCATGTTTTGTTGTTTTACCACTTACCTCCTTTTTTGTTCGCTGGATAATTTAATTTCCAGATATTCTGTTTCCATTAGCTATTCAATGATTTCGTCTTTAATTTCTAATTTGCTACAAATGGTGTCGTTTGGAATTATTATAGCCTTTGTTTGGCTATGAAAATTGTCGTTTAAACTGTAAAGGGTTGGTGTAAATTATCCGATGATAGTCATCATTTTCTGCTATAATGCATCATTTACATATCAAATAAGTTTTAAATTTATATTATTATCCATTATCAAATTAAATAGAAGAGGATTCAGAACACCTTGCCTTATGTCTGTTTTGTACGCAATTATTATGCCAATATGCAAGATATATGTTTATTATATGGATTTCTCTATGAACACTGCATATGTGCATGAATAACCTCTTCTAAACCCTTCCTACTCTGCTTCGTGTGTTTTTCTTTCGGTAATCTTCTTTGTTAGTATCCTTGTTATTAGCTTTAGACTGGTATAAAACATATAAGTTTAAATCATAGACATATAATACCTAGAGCAAATGTGCAACAGAGAAAAAGGATGCGAGCAGTCCTTGCATCCCTTTCTAATGGCCAAGGTAATCGACCACGATACCTTTCCTCTACCAGAAAATGTACAATCACAAGTGAGGTAGCAATAACTGAAATGTTTAACGTAACAAGTCGTTGTAGCGAAGTGGTATTGTTTCTGCTTCGGACCTGGATAATCGAGGTTCGATTCTTCCTCTGATTTTTTTTTATAAATATAATATTAATCAATATTACGTTTATTAGATATTATTAATCTGTAAGTAAATCTTAGTCTAAAAGCAATTGGGACTATTATTACTAAAAGTATAAGTGTTTCAACTAAATAATTATGGTAGCATACATGGCAATAAATACTTTATATATATATATATATATATATATATATATATATATATATATATATATATATATATATATATATACTTAATAATAATAATAAGTTCAATTGCCATTTACATATTACTTTTTTAAAGATATATATACACACATTTAATATTTGTAAGATTTACTTCTTCTTCTTCTTGTGCCGTCTTCTAACGAAGGTTGGCGATCACTTCTTTAAACGCTTCTCGATCTTTTGCAACGTGAAATATCTGTTCAACACTGAGGTTAGTCCAATCTCTGATATTCCTCAGCCAAGATTTCTTCTTTCTTCCCAAGCCTTTTCTTCCCTCTACTCTACCTTGCATGATATAGATACATGAGTATGTGGCCCAGATACGATGTTTTTCTTATTTTAATTGTGTTCATAAGCTTTCTGCCATGTCCAACTCGTCTTAACACTTCCTCATTTGAGACTTTTGTAGTCCAAGGAATCTTCAAAATACGCCTATATAGCCACATTTCGAGTGCCTCCAATTTTTTATAGATTGGGCTTTCAGAGTCCAAGCTTCTACCCCATATAGTAGTTGCGACCAAACATAACATTCGACGAACCTCAATCTGATGGCCATACTCAATTTCTTATTTGTAAAAATTAGATAAGTAAGTTAGAATTAAGTAAGTAAGATTTACTTACAGATTTAATAATATCTAACAAACGTAATATTGACTGTTATTAAATGTATGTATATAAGAAAATATCAGTGGAAGTGAACTCCGATTATCCAGGTCCAAAAGCAGAAACAATATCACGTCGCTACATTGTCTTGTTATAATGTATTATATGCCTATGGTTCAAACATAGGTTCGGTCACTTTTTAGGTTAGTAACCTAAGTGGGTTTTCGTTTATTCTCGGAAATATCTCAGTAATAATTTGAAAGTAATTTGATGAGTAATTGCTACGTTTATTGTATTATAAGTGTAATCATCTTTCATTTTTAGGTTGAGTTTACCGAAAGTACAAGCTAAATATAACCGCAAATGTCAAAAATATTTGAGTTTGGCAGTATTGGGATATTTTTATAATGCATATATGCTTCAAATATAAAGAGAGAAAGTTTTTAAAAAGTACATTTTTTTTATATTATCTTATGAATTCTGCAATTTTTAATTTATATGAAGCAATAACGAGTAAATATTTGTCTCTTTCGAGATTAATTGCAATCATGTTGCAATCTAGCAACTGCTGATTTGACGATTGCCAAATCTGTCCCCTAATCTATCAAAGGGTAATTGCCAAAATAATTTCTATTAATTAACTGCAATTAATCTCCAAAGAAACAAATATGTACTCATTTTTGTTTTATATAAATCAAAAATTGCAGAATTTATAACATAATATAAATAAAACGTACTTTTCTAAAGCTTTATCTTTTTAAATTTGAAGCATACAGCATCTGCATTATAAAAACATGCCAACACTGCTATACCAAAATTTTTTGTTCCGTGTTTGACATTTGCTGCTGTAATCAGCTTGTACTTTCGGTAAACTCAACTCATTTTTACATCTTTGCGTTTACATCTTTAGCCCGTGTTCTTCAAAATCTTTTTAAATCGGTTTTCTTCTAGTATAAATAGTATTTGCCTCTTATATTTCTTACATCACATATTGAACAGAACTCGTGATACCTATTTGTATTTTTTTAGGGACCTTGCCGCAAGAAACGTACTTATAGGCGAAAACAACATTGCCAAAATATGTGATTTCGGATTAGCCAGGGTAATAGAAGACAATGAATATTGTCCGAAACAGGGTTCTAGCTTCCCAGTGAAATGGACAGCCCCTGAAGCTATAATCTATAGTAAATTCTCCATCAAGTCTGACGTCTGGTCTTATGGTATCCTCCTGATGGAACTATTCACCTACGGACAAGTTCCTTATCCCGCCATGCACGGTAGAGAAGTCATAGATCTAGTAGATAAAGGTTACAGAATGCCCAAGCCCACAACACATCACGTTCCAGATGAAATCTATCAAATAATGTTGAACTGTTGGGATGCCAATCCCGAAAAGAGGCCGACATTTGAATTCCTCACCCACTACTTTGAAGGATTCAACGTTACGTCAGAAGTTCCTTATAGAGAAGTCCCAGATTAAGGTTTATAAAAGGTTTATTTGGATCAGTTTCTCGAGAAAATAATTCTTGACATGGTTTTGATAAACATAAAACAAATAAAAGCATTAACAGCAAGATTTCGAATATTTTTATACCATAGTGTTGTTCAGAAGTAAATATTTTGTTTGTATTTTCATTATTAATAGTTTACCATAATTCAGTAAATATGCACAGTATTTTGTATTAAAAAATAGTACAAAATTTTAGTAAACCGAAAATTTGCTAAAACATGTGTTTAATGTAATTAGGTACAATCTGAATGTTATTTGCCTTATTTAATCGACGAATTGACTGTTGTTATTTATCATAGCATGCCAAGAAAATTCTTGTGTAAGCAACTGATCGAAATACATCTGACCTTAGTTTTTTTTTGGAAATGTTATATTTTGTCATTAACTATGTTAGATCTCATTTAGTTTTATAAATGTTTGCTTCATTCCTCTTCGATAATCTTTCTTGTGTTGTCTCTTGAGTTACACAACTGAATATCAGAAAGTTAATACAAAGTCGGTTTTAAAATACTTCTTCGCATTAAAATGTTTGTACTAGGGTGTTGTTCTATCCTAAACGTGGTTGTGGTGGAGTAGAACGCATTACAAAATAATGTTTGTTGGATTATTTTTCGTAGGGTGAGTCGTTTAGGATAGTCTGTGAACCTATTCATGTATTTTTTCAATATCAACATGGCTTTAGAGGAAAGTGCAAGTTTTAGATAAAAAAAATTGCAAATAAACCTAATAAATATGATACATCAAATATAAAAATTATAGTCTTTTAATTATATCTTTTGAATTACTAAAGCAAGTAACAAAGCTTTTACATATTTGTTAATTGAATTCTCGATTCTTTCATTTCATTTTCAATTCAAATAATGGTTAACTAACTGATTAAATTGATTTAAAGTATCAATACTTGAGGTGAGTAGTGTCTAATTAACATTAGCATTTCGCATAGCATTTGACATAATCAACTAAAGAGTAGGTATTACTAGTAATTTGTTGATCCTTTTTTTCTGCAAATTTATAAGAATAAAACAATAAGGGCACATACTCTACATCTTGATAAATGATCAGTGATTACTTAATTTTGACTCTACTCCAGATTTTTTTCTATATCTAATGGAGGTACAAAATAGTTGGCAGAGACGGCATCCTTAGTTTATAGAAAGTTGTGATATCTGCATTCGAAATTGTTTCTTCTTTATAGTACATTGTTAAGACGTCCTTAACTTGTTTTTATCCCTCATCTAGTATACATACAGTATATTCTTGTTCTTGTCCTACTATGTTCACCTGTTTTGTCTCTAAAAACCGTCTTTTCCATGAAACAATTTTATTTTTTTCTGCTAGTTTCTGGTTCATTTATTCTTCGCTTTCTTTAACGATGTAAAACACTCTCCCAGACGAAACTTTTTAATTACACATATATTTCTGCGCAATCTTCCATTAAATATTTTGTATCACATGTATTTTTGTCGCACATATACTCATATACTATTCTCCTATTTCTTAAGTTTAAAAAATATCATTTGTTACTTCATCAAAGAGGTCAAGCCTCTTAAATACAGTACCTCCCCCTACTAAAACTACCTCCGTCCCACTCCAATCGCAGACAGCATTGGGAAGCCTTTACTTTTTCTATCGTGAATGCCCTGGGAAATTGGGAAAGGCCGAGAGGCCTTTCTGTGTTATGCGCTTTTCTCCTGGGTTACCATTTCTTTTTGTGAAACTTTTAGAATTAAATCTTTACCAAAAGTGTTCCGGTCCAGAGAGCCAGCGGCTCTCCGCACTGAGGTCTTGTGTGTGCCAGACGATCGGCTGTCGACTTAACAAAACACAAAAATAAAAATAGTTGAGTAAATGATGTGAAGTTAGAAGGGGGTGAGACATGCATTTTCGTATGTATAGTGCCGTTACATGCCTCGTGTATGTTTTTTTGGATTTTTTTTTTCTAAACCCATCTATTCTATTGTATTAACAAACCTAGTAGAGGTGCTAGGCGGCTACCACCACACATAGGGAAATCAATGTGTTAAAGAGAGCGTTCGGGGGAGCGTTCTATCAATATGTCAACATTAATTTAAAAATTATTTAGCTGTCAAATCTTTTTTTCAACAGCTGTCAACTGTCAGTTCTTCTTTTCCCAGCTGCCAAATCCATAAGAATTGACATTTGACAGCTGGGACAAGAATAATTTTCATGTGCCAGCTGACGGCTGCGGAAAGTCACAGCTAAATAATTTGTAAATCAATATAAATTAAAAATGGCAGGTGACTAGTGGCGACTAGCAGATAAAAGTTGAACTATGACAGTCGGTAACGGAGATTCATTTGACGTAATGGCTGCGGTCATATTGGGGCGGGGCATTGATAGAACGTTTTCTGACAATGATTTCCCCGTGTGCAGTAGTAGTCCCCTACCCCTCTCCTTACTATTCTGACTACTTCACTTGCCAGGTCCATTGCAATACCAACCCATTGCGTCTTGTTTCTCCACTCTTCGGGATGGTGCCGCATTAGTTGGTTTCTGGGTCTTCTGTCTTCTGTGACTGTTCGTGTTGATTGCATTATTTCTTATAGGGGGCAAACTGCGTTATTCATCTCAACAATATTTTAGCAAGCTCTCAAAAACTGTTTTTGTATGTCAAGTGTCGTCTCTGACAACTCTTTCGTACTTTTGACTGGATAAATTCGATATTTAAACGCTCATTAACATACAATCATCAATAAAATATACAATGAACAGGAATCAAGAATTCTTATACTTCTGTTGTTGCTTTGTCGAAATATTAAAGGAGTTTTCTAATACTTGCCATAAATTTCAAAAAATTAATTTTTGATCTGATTCCACAAAAAAACTATTTTGAATAAGCAACATTTTATAGTTTGTAGTTTCGTACTTAAAATAAGTACGAAATATGCATAACAAAGCTTATGCAAATCTCATATACTCTAAATAGAAACACGTTTTATTAGAGGCCATCTATCAAGAGAAGAATTCAATCGAGTTATGTTCACAGACTCCCTATTTGGCAATCAGCAGTTTCTTTGTGATATTTTTAGATCATAACCTTGACTAGTCACTTATATAGTGAATGTTATTAAACATTTTTAATAAAAGCGGAAACATCACGAAAAGTAAAATTTTTCTATACCATTTACACTTTGTAAAATTATTTTTATTTCATATGTACGGTTTTACTATTCTAACGTTATTAACGCCTTCTATTTTTAATAGGTACTTCCCAAGTTTATTTTTTAAGTGTATATTTGTTACAGTCTTATTTGGTAACTGAAATAATGTTTTTGTATTAATATTTAGAGTGATATTATTTATTTATCGCACAATTTATGACATGCTTTTATCACTTTAATTTTAATTGAATTACGGAAAAAATGGTGGCTAATTTTGGACATTTTTAAATACTCTGTAAATATATAGATGAGTTCTGGTCAAATTTACATTTTATTATTATTTTTTTTGGTTAAAAAAAAGGTTTTTGCTAAAACAAGTTTGTTAATAAACAACACTAAAGAAGTGTGAAATGAAAGTAAGTTTAAATAAATTTAAAATTTTCACAATTTCTTTAAAAAAATGTATTATCTGACTAATATCTTTTTAAAGATAATTCAACCTACCAGTGGCGTATTAAAGGATTGTAGAATAACTTTAAATATGTAAGTTATATAGTTTGTTAATCATAAAGGAGAAAAAACTATCCAAGACCTAAGACTTGCCTTAAATCAGATATGGCGCCTTCTTATTCTTCGTCATAACAAAAAGTTGTATGTGACATTCATAATGTGTGAAAATAGCCGGTTTTGCTCAAAAAAAATAAGAGCTTTTGTTTAATTTTTTTATTTACATAAATTTTTAGCATATAACTTATGGTGATAATTTTTAATTGTGCTTGTAACAGAAAGGAGTAACCTAACTACTTCCAAGTTCAATCATTTGAAGGTACAAATTCACCCAAAGACGCTTTTTCTTCATTATATCCGTTTATATTTGTTTTATAACGGATGAGATGATAATTTGGTCAACACTACTCATGCCATTTGACTAATTCAACAAGTACTCAACATTCACATGAATAATTTTACAGCATTTTTAAAAAACCTACCAAAAACGTTACTCTTGTCATAATGTGCTGTTAATTTACTCTCATTATTTTGGGCATATCTAATTCTCTCAACATTAATTATACATTTTATCTTAAAAAAGTAGGTACGTAGAAGCAATTTTCACCGCTCTATCTTAGCTGAGTAACCGTCAGGGCACATTTTTGTTGTAATTTAAATCATAAGCTGTCGGCTTTCATTCTTTGGTGGTTTAGACTTTACTTTTTTCTTAATCACATTTCGGTGAAATCAAATTTATATGTAAAGTTCTGATGTTAAAACAAATTCAAACTTGTTGTATGACAAACGTTCATACGGTACGAAATGTTGATGAGCCAATCTGATTTTGTTCAAAAGATTTTTTTCTGTGGCAGTTCAGACTTCCGAACGTAATTTATGCAGTAGGCAACTTCTGATCTCTAGGAATCTTTAGTTTTGTGGTATTATTTTTAAAAGAGGTAGCAAATCTGTATGCAATATGTTTTAACCATGAAATTTTTACGCTTCCGTTAATAGTTAAATAAAATGACAATAAATTACTTAATTTTGCTTTTTTTAATGTTAAAATGTGCCAACTATATTGATTAATACAAAAACAACGTAAACAGTTACTTCCTAAGACTCTCATTTTATTTCCAAAGTAGTATTTTTAGATAAAGATAAATTCGCAAAAGACTGTACTTATCGCTTTGTACAAGAAACATAAAATTGTGTCTAAGTTACGTAATTTCTAAACTGAGCCTCGTACGACTATAGAATTAGTACAAAAAGTTTAGAAACGAGTAGTGTATGAGCTGATAAACAAAATATATATACTAAATAGTAAAAGTTAAGTTTTAGTAGGATGAATGAATAAAATAT